GACAACCCCGTAACAATATGCGTTTTGTACTGCTGTTACACAGCACAAAACGCATAAAAAGAACCACACAGGCGAGCATAGCAACCGCAAATGCGATCACGTGGAAAAACGCAGTGATCGACTGATCACTGCTCTACAGAACGCCGTCATGCCGGCATTTTGAATGCCGAGAATTTATCTCACATACGACTGCTTGTATGCATTAAGTTCATAAACCTCTTACGCGCAGCTGATTTTTTTTTTTTAAATTAATCTAAACTAAGAACTCGGGCTCTGCTGCACGTAGCGCTGTCCAGAGTTACGTCACTTTCCGGGATGTACATAATTGGCGTATTCACCATGCTTCGCCAGCCGCATCCAAATGATCCATTGCGAGTTGAACTGAAGCGACAGGAGCATTGCTTACTTCATCCCCACTTCAAATTTCTCCGAACAGAACGCTCCGCTGTCTAGATTGTATATCACAATATACAAAGCTTTGCAAAGCGCCGCGGCCAGATAACACTGTAGCACTGAAAATCCGCAAGAAGCTGTGCAAAAACGCATGATCGCGCCGGCTCACCTGGTGCGTTTCAGCTTGGGTTTAGCAAATGACCGCTCAAGCAGCACTTCCACTTTTTAGTGAACCGGAAATTTGCATTTTCCGTTTTTCAAAAAGCGAGCATTGATCGAAAAAATGACCAAGCTTCATGCAAAAAGCTGCCAATCATGTGCCTAGAGGTCCGCGCCTCTCTATAATGCACCACTTTCATCCCAACCAACGCTCTTCCTACTGCCCGTTCGAGAGGCCAAAGCGTGGCCCAATATGAGCCCAAGTGTAAGGCCACAGCGCAGGGATCACTTCTGCTATTAGCAGTCTGCGAGTTTAGTGCAAAAAAGCATGATCGCACTGGCAAGCCTGGGTTGATTCCTAGTTCTCAGTTTCTGGGACAGTCAGAACGTCTTCCTGCGCTGCGGTAACCATCGTCCCATTATTTTACCATAAATATTTTACTCATTGCCTTAATTTATAGATGCACTCATCCTAAACAAGTCTTGTTAGGATATTAACATAGTGCAGTCGAATTTGCAGTCTCACCCCTCATATGTCAATGCGTGAGAAGTAGGTGAATTCCAGTGGCGCTTTTAGGTATGAAGATTTTTAAATTCCCGGCTTGTTTGCTTGCTAGGCTGGAAGAAAGCTGATAATTTCGCGATTTCGAATTGCATGCACAAATACATGAAATGCAATTTGCCATTTAAGCTGATTTCGAGTTCCAAGCATTTGCGAATATTAGTATTAAAACAGGAGAATAGCACTTGGAATGACTCTTGTGAGGCATAACTGCTTCCACTTTTTCCACGTTCGCCAACTCCAAGCAGAACGGTGTTCTTCTTGTGTGTGCAGTCACGTTGTGCATGATCTGCAGCAGTTCACTTCCACTTTTACAAAGGTATTCACTTTATGTTTAGAAGTGTTAGAGCGATTGCCAAGACATTTATTTTTGCTTCAAAACAAAGGCAATGACCGAAAATGAATGGATGCACTTGCGTTTGGAATGTTTGCATGTCGTTGCACATGCGCCAATGCACGCACTTTGTTGCATTTGATACTGTACCACTAAAGCAATCCCTTACAGCAATCATCTAGCTGATAGTAAAAAGATAAAAGTGTGCTTAACACAGTCACAGCGGCATGCAAATATTGCTGGCGTATCAGTGCTTACAAAAAAGACTTTAGCAGAAATTACATGTGAGTGCGCAACGCTTCTGCATTAAATCTATCCATCTTGGGTCGAAGCAGTATGGCTTGTAATTCTTACAGTCCTTTGCATTATCGCGGCAGTCACAGCGCGAGCATGTCTTCACGCAGTTCGGCCAGTTAGTTTCTGAGCAGCTTGCTCTAGTGCAATCCGAGACCTTATCTTTACAGCATTCTTTACCAACGCCACATGACCCTTTGCAACCAACACGCATTTGCGCAGTGGTCCTCGCATTGCTGCATAATCCCAGTGCTGCATATTTGACACAGTTCGTATTACTGTCTTTGCACTTATCTGAAATAGTTCAACATTCGCTCCAAAATGTGTTTGAAAACGTTGGAAATTGTGGGGGCATTTGACCAACCAATCATTCGGAGCAAATGCTAGCCTATTCCGACAAGAAGTGGCCAGCCGACTGGACAAATGACCAATAGCTCAAAAGCGTCAGATTGATTCGGTAAGAAAATGAATCAGCAGTGCTTGTGTTGCGAGCTCTGATATTTTCTGCTTTACATCTCCAAGATAATTGGCCAACACGTGGGCTACCTGTGTGAAGATGCGTCTTTGCACAGTTCCTCGTAGATTTTTGCCGCTAACGGCACTGTTTTTCCGGCAGAAGCTTCTAGCTAGAAGAATTTCGGACTGGCCGCCAGGACTGTCAGGAAATATCCCTTTAAAATTCCAGTTTTCTAGCCCCTCAGATGCCCGAGTTAAAGACTTGCTTGAAAAAAACTTTCACGGACCCAAGCGTAGGCACCACGCACATGCGGGGCTGGGTTTGAGGTCTTCAATACCTACTTGGACGACGAACATTCCTTCCAAACTCCAGTTTTCTAGCCTCTCAAGTTCCCGAGCTAGCAACTTACACGAAAAAAACTTTCACAGGCCCGGACGTGGGTACCACGTATACGCGAGAGCTGGGTCTGAACTCATTAATACCTAGCTGGACGGGAAACAACCCCTTAAAATTTCAGTTTTCCAGCACTTCTGGTTACCTAGTAAAAATTGAATTGGAATGTTTCGATCCATTAAGTCGCATACATTCCTATTCAGCTGCAGCTGAACCCCGTTAATGTGATGGTCGCAGCAGAAAAAAAATTCGCTCAGGGTATCTAACTTAGCGCACAGTTAGCAGCTTGCATACTAAAAAATTTTGGCGAGCCCTTATGTGAGTATCACGCGGGCAAGGGCGCCCATTTTGAGGATTGAGGCCCGTACGTGTATGTAGATTAAGTTTTCAAAGTTACAGCTCTGTAGATTTTATAAGGTCTCAAGATGAAAAATCGGCACAGATGCATACACAGACACACAGACAACCCCTCGTCAATATGCATTTTCTGCATTGCATTGATGCAAAAAACGCACAAAAAATCTGTTTTATAAATGCCACTAAAAACAACCGGGTTTTTAATATTTCGTTTGGCCGAGTCGCTTTCTAAGGGGAAAGAACTTAGCTCTGTTGGATTAATTTGGAACTCGCTTTTTCTTCAAGAAAACGGAGAGGAAGGGAAAAGGCAAAAATTCAATTCGGTTTCATAATACGCATCACTGTTTACAAGATTTGCGCCCGTTATACCGAAGAAGCTCTTGCAGATTGCGCAGCAAAATCGCAAGGTAAAGAGATCGGTATTTTTGTTCAGGGGAGCAGTTGGCGGTGCAGAATGGTTTAGGGCTGCTATTGCTGCTCAAAGCTTGAAAAGGAATTGGTTTCTAAGCGAGAGTCCAAACCAGTTCATTTACGTGTGGAAGCAAACGTGGATAGAAGGGGAGCCAAACAGACGCCAGGAAAGAACTTAGCTCTGTTGGAAAGAAAAAGGAGGGTAGCTTGGAACAGCTACCTACGCCAGAGTAAAAAGTGCCGATGTACTGTTTAAATCGCAGAAATAGCCTTACTTCGGAATTCAAAAGCGCAAAGACAGTGACTTCAAAAAGAACTTGTGGAGGAAGAGAGGTGTAATCGCAGGACTGCGCAGAAAGCTGCGTGGCATTAATCTAACCAACGAAATAAGGTACTTGACACACTGCAACGCTATTTGCTTACCTGCTTTGTTGTTTAGATGATTGTTTGTTTACCTGTTGACCGCATACACATTCTTAGGGCAGTTATTAAAAATCAGCTCTGCCGTTACTCTGCATCTCAGCTAACGCTATTTCGTGCCTAACCTCGTCGACGCCTCCTGGCAGTTTGCCAGGTGTGCTGAGTAGCGATATCCGACGTTCGACTATTAGGCCACATACGCTGTGGAGGGGCGGGCGAGGGGGGAAGGGGTATTGGTTGATGGGTGCCCGAATACAGCTCAGGGGACACGGATTGAGGCAAGGTAGAGAAGCGAGGCAGGAGAGCTAGTGGGGATGGGGTGATTCGCGGTAGTACTGATTGGAATGGGAGGTGTGGTGAGTGATGGGTATCGAGAAACCGTCCTGCAGGCAGGGTTTGGGGACAGGATAAAGGAGGAGAACAAGCTTATTTATGAAGGTGATGCTTAGGTGAAGCTAAGAACTTTCAGCTTTACCTAATCATTAGCTTCACCTTATTTGCTTTCAGATTTTCAGATTCACCCTTTTCGCTTTCAACTTTACTTAGCCATCACTTTATAGATGTGGAAGTTCGCTACTGATGGCGGTTTTTTGTTTGCTTTTCTTGCTTTTACTTTCTTGCCTTTCCTCTTTTCTTACTTCCCTTTCTTCCACCTTTTTGTGGCCTAGGCAACTGCCAATGGCGTGCCATGTGGTCCTTTCACCACCCACTCCAGTTCTCTCCCGCTGCTTCGAACATCTACGTGCGAACTCAGCACACGCCACCCGCTCACACCCACCCCAACCTCCTCCTCCTCTCGAATCTCACACCCAAAAAAAAAAAAAACTCACCGTTGCCAACTCTCCTCCTCCCTTTCCTCTGCCCTCCGCAGTGTACTTCCTCTCGATCCCTTCCCGTGCCCTGCATATTCACGGCAAAGCCAGCAACACGGTTCCTCCTCATTTCCGCTCATCGCCCACTCCTTCCTCCCCCCCCCCCCCCCCCCCCCCCCCCCCCCCCCC